CCTGTACCACGTTCGAGTTGGCATCAGCATCCTGCTGGATGAGGTTGTAAACCCTGCCCTAGATAGGAGGTCTTCCCTGATTCTGGTTCCTCGGGCACTCTCTCGCATAGTGCTAGACACTTCCACATATGCAACAGGTGTTGTTGAAGCGGTAGCATGGTCGGTCCCCGTGATCCCTGCCGCAGTGCTGACAGATCTTACCACGTACTGCCACTGGAGCCTAAGGGGGAGCCTGGATCATCGGCCTGGGCCTCTTATTTTGTTGGACAAGCGCAGTAGGTGCTGGTCTGCGGGGTGGAGCTGAGGGTCTGTGGTTCCCTGCTGACTGAGGAAGGGTGTGGAGGCTCCTCTCCACTAATTGTGCCTTTGCCAGAATGGCTGAGTATGTCTTGAGCTCCAGTACAAATAAATGTTGATTGATCTCTGGGCGGAGGCCCCACTGGAACCTCCTAGCCTTCTTGCCCTCATCCATCAACGTCTCAGGGGAGTATCGGCCCAACTCCAGGAACTTACGAGCATATTCTGACACCGTCATGCTTCCCTGGACTAACTGGACAAACTCCATCTCCTTTAGATATCGGATGTGCTCTGGGAGGTACTCCGCATGAAAGGCTGCTAAGAACTGTTCCCAAGTGACTGGAACAGGCAGGGTGGTCTGCTTGAGTTCCCACCAACGATCTGCTTCTCCCACTAGAATGTAGGTAGCAAGGGTGACATTCTGCTCAGGAACCACTCCTAAGGTCTTGAAAGCCTTCTCCATCTTTGCCAACCAGTACTGGGCATCTTCAAAAGAGGATTCCCCTACAAAAGTGGAAGGGTTCAGTCTCCTGTACCTCTCTACGTAGCTCGGGTCAATCAAAGATGGAGCTGGGTCCCGCGGAAGAGAGACTAGGCCAAACTGAGGATAGATTGGGGGGCCCTGTGGTGGTACTTGCTGATATAGTGGGGGCACTGGATTATACTGTGGCGGTGTCAGGCAGTACTGTGGCTGGGGCACCGAATTATACTGCGGCGGTGGTACCGGGTGGTACTGTGGAGGAGTAGGCTCGTACCGGGGTGGCTCGAGATCTTCTCACTGCAGCGGTGGCTCAACTTGTGATAGTGGGGGAGGGTAGCTCCCTTCTCTCCTTTCGGCCTTACTGGGCAGCAATGAGTCTTTCCAGCATCTCAAATATTATGTCAACATCTTTCCGAAGCAAACCATCCCAGGCTGCTCGGTTTAGTGGGGGTCTTCCTCTCCTCATCCCTCTGCACCTGCATTTCACAAGGAAGGGTTGAGTAACGATTCTTTGGTTTGATACCAACTGTAACGGCCCCGAAAATTTAAAAGGAAATGTATATAAAAAATCTGAATGCGGAAGCGAAATAAAAAGTTCTGATTAATATCCCTTATAAAATAACTTAAATGTACTAACAATATCAAAGAATAAGTTAACTAAATGAAATACTATAAGGAAAACTATAAAATATTTAGGTATCTACTCGCCGTCTTCCTGCGGAATGGGCTCGGGAACCAAGTCCTCCTGATCTGAAATCGTTAAGTAAGGAATGAGGTACACTAGTCCAGTAAAGATGTCAAAGTATATCACTGTCACAGAAATAAATGTTGGTAGAAAAACAAAAACAACCAATGGAGCAAAAAGTTTTTAAACAATTTCATTTATCAATAATCAAACCATTTACCGTCCACTTACCTCGATGAGATTTATAAAACGACCTATAGAAACAATAACATCATAGATATCATGAATTCATACATACTCGGTAACATAGCACATGTCATACTTTATATATCAATCATCAAACAACAATTGCCCTATTTTATCAGCCTACTAGTATCCATGGGGATCCATAGGGGTCCCCGCTATACGTGAACCATTCACTTTAACAAACTTAGTTCCAGGGCCGTCCCCACACCTCGTCCGATACATGCGCCAAAACAATGAACCTCAATACCCCGTCCGGTATAAGGGTGAAGTGGGTCGTCCCCATACCTCGTTCGGTATGAGAGACAACGTTCCCGGTATGGTTCCCTATGGACCAGATCCGTCTACCATCTCTCAAGATATCTAGTGAGGCTGTCATCTTATCCAATTATCAATTCAATCCCATTCCTATTTATCCTTGGTCTTCGTTACCCATTCAAACATAAATATTTAAGCAAGCAACGTGCATACAACAAGGCAAACATATATTAAATTCACAAAATCAAGCAGTAGTAAAGTAAACAGTGATTCATGCATTCAAAATCATAGAATAAATAAGACAGATACCATAATGCATTTAAAACTGTAAAATAAATAAAACATGAATTGATAGAAAAATATATCTAATTCGAGCTCCATTAACAATCTTAATTAATTATACATATTTATTAATTACAAAAATACAATATTTCTATTTATTAGAACTTTAATTCACGATAGGAAATAGTATATATAATCACTAGTAAGTATACATATAGATACTCAAAACATACATTCGCTCGCTAAATACATAAAGACATGATATCGCACATACACACAAATATATACACACATATATATATATATATATATATAGATATGGGGAAATTATAAATTTTGAGATTAATTCACACTGGAATTTATGATTAAAGATCAAATATATTTTTCTAGAACCGAAGAACCTAACTAAATTAGCAGATGGTTGCCACGTGACCCTGCCACCCCTTCTTATTAAAACCAACTTTCCAACTTTTGACTGTAAGTAGGTTGATATGAAATGGCTGCCATGACTTTGACTCATCTTCTGAACTCTCCAATTGCTCAATCTTCTTCACTAATATATATATATATATATATATATATACATATATATACACATATATATGTATATTATATGTGCCCGTAGCAAAAGAATCTTCTTTTCTATATTTTCTAAATACAAATTCTTCTCTAATAATATTATTATTTAGTAAATTTCCTTTTCATGTCACTATTACTTGTTGAATAATACCAAACAACATAATCAACTACCACCTATACAGGGAACCTTGATTTTGATATGTTGTACCCTATATATATATATATATATATATAATATACAAAGAGAGAAACCATGCTTTACCCCACAATGCATCTAACTCTACGGCTAATTTATTATCAAATTAAATCGAGTCTAAAGCCATTGATAAGGTGTTGATTAAAGGTTATTTCTTAACACCCATCATTAGTTTCTAAGTGGATTAATATTTGATTAGTGCTTAATAAATTTTTAATCATGCTTTGTTGCATTTAGCCACACTCATGAAGAAGCCCATATCCCACTTGCACACAAAGTTATAATAATTCTGATAGACTAAGATATATTAATCTTTGACGTTAAAATTTTTATATTCTATTTAAAAAAATATGAATGAGTTTAAAATTTATTAAAAAAAAATGTAAAATTTATTATTTGTGAATGTATTTAATTAGATTTTTAATTTTAATAAATTTATTATACTTTTGGGTGTAAAGGGGGTTTATGAAATACCTCTTGTATCAATTTCATTAATTGAGAGAATGAGAGGGCACAATCAAGAGGGTGTATAGGTGTATGGACGTATAGGTGTATGGATGTATAGGTGTATGGATGTGATTATATGAGAGGTCACTTTTCAGATTACTTGGAAATTGGAATGCCCAAAGGATTCTGATTTTTTCTCCCACATGACCCACAAAATAGATACCTTGCTTCTCAAATAACCTCTCTCTCTCTCTCTCTCTCTCTCTCTCTCTCTCTCTTCATATATCTATATACATATGTATATATTATATCTATTTTAATTCCACTTGAAAGAAAAATAGAGGAACCAAAGATTCCAAAGCACCCCCAAATTCAATCATGAGTCTAGAACACAATTTTCTCTTTCCATATCCTCGAACAATACAATGTCAATAGACTCTCAATTCCTCTTTTTTTTTTTTTTTTTTTTATAAATTATGGTTCCAAGATTTGTACATAATGAACTATTATATATGCCTTTATATAATTGTTTTTTTTTTATAACATACATAGATAAGGATATAATAAAAATTATGTAAGTAATAAAACATAATGCAATATAAAGCAAATGTAACTTGAATAATGAATAAAATAACAAAAAAAATTTATCTTTTTTTTTTAAAGATTTTAAACAATAAGTCATTTTAAGTATTAATATATGCTATGAATGAAAAATATATATATATATATATTTAACATACTAAATTTTGAAGAGACAAAATTTGTATAATAACTTAGAGATACAATATTTATGTTTATTTAAGAAATATAAAAAATTATAGGGCAAAATATAATTTATTTATTTATTTTTTATGAAGATTATAAATATAATGGAATTTAAATTGTAACCAAAAAAAAAAAATGAATGAGAAAAAATTATTGATGGGGTAGATGATGATGATGATGATGGTGATGATATAATAATTTAATGGTAACAACACATAGACATTAATAGAAGTTCATCCGTCTTATTCCTTGTTTGGATATCAAAATTTTAGATGTAGCCTTGATTCCTACTCATGAGTTTAACTCTTCAACCATTCCCTTTCAAGCCAAGATTATTCCAATAACCAAAAACAAATACATATATAATAAATTACTTATATAAGTTTTATATTTAACTAAAAAATAATGGGTATTAATAAAAAATTAAATTATTTTTTAAAAATAAAATTAATTTTAATTTGTAATGATATAAGGTTAATTTATCAAAAAAAGAAGCAAAAAACTAATTTTTCATTTGATAAAATAGAGTCATACACACTGTATGTATGTATAGGTAGCCGTTTGGACATGGAACAGAAGTTGCAAGAAAATTGAAATCTTTAATTGGGAGCAAAGAAATTAGTCGAAACCAAACAAGGCACAGATTCTTTTCTTGGAAGCACCAAAAACTGAAACCTGAAAAAATTCTTTTTCCACTACAGTTATGATCCTACGTAAGACTGATACATGCTTTAATGGAGTTCAAATTTTAGAAGTTACAAAATTTTTTAAAAAAAAAAGAAAAAAGAAAATCCATAAGCGCTTTAATGAATATCAGACAATTTTAAAAAAAAAAAAATTCTCCAATAATTAATCCAAAAACCTCCGTTTATAAAACCAATCACCAACACATTGAATTCTTGATCATCAGCAGTGTAGGCCAACTACCATCTTTACCAAATCTTCCTTTCTGCTCAATCCAAAACTTAACTATCATCAATGGCGTAAACCCAAAACTCCAAAGCTCTTGCGTGCCAGAAAACCCATCAAAGAAAAAATAAAAACCCACATCAGCGGTTGTTTCTTTCGATCACTGCAGTGGGTTTTGTGTGGTGGGGAGGTGAAGTGGAAGAAGAAGACAAAGCAGGGGTTAGAAGGTTCTAAAATTAGATGTTTACGAGGGGTGATAACCAGAGGCGGATTAACAATCGTAAACCTGGGAAAGTCAAGGGAGCATTTGTTCGAAGGAATTTTGGATTGCATCAATGAGATCGCGTCGGTTCTTGCCTTCGCTAGGATGAGTGACTCTGCTTACAGAGTGGAAACGACGTCGCGTCTAGCCCAATGGAGGATAGAAAATCTTGCTTCCTGCACTTACCGCAAATCCGATCCTTTCAAGATCGGAAAGTGGAACTGGTGAGAATCCTTTTCAGATCATCTTGAATCTTGCTTGTGTTTCAACTTACGGGTAGTGTTTGTTTATCATTTTTCTTTTTGGTGTGTGTTATGGCTATTTGGAGGACTTGTTTGTGTGCGGTGGGTGTATGATGATGATCGTGGGGTCGAAACTTGATTTCTAGAGATTTGGAGAAATGGAAGGAAACTGGAAGTTCAATAATTGAATCTTGCTTCTGTTTCAAGTAATGGGTATTGGTTGGTGTTTGTATATCAGTTTTGTGTTTCTGTTTTTTGTTTCTTACTAAGACTTAAAGGGTTTGTTTGGGTATGATGCATGAGTATGATGATGGAAGTGAAACTTGGTACTGGAACTGGAAACTGGGGAAATGGAAGAAAACTAGAATCTCAGTTATTGAATATTGATTGTGTTTGAAGAGATGGCTAGTGTTTGTTTATCAGTTTTCTGTGTTTGTTTTTATTTTCTCTGACTTTTGAATATTGTGGATGAGTATAATGATGGTCATGGGAGTGAAATTTGATCAGGGAAATGGAAGGAAACTAGAATCTCAAATATTTAAACTTTCATGTGTTTCAAGTCATGGGTAGTGTTTGTTTGTCAGTTTTTTCTATGTTTTTGTTTCTTTTGTGAATATCCAAAAGGGTTTATTTTGTGTGGTGGATTGAGTATGATGATGGTTATCCTATTGAAAACTCAGTTGTTGAAAGTGGGGAAATAGAAGGAAACTAGAAATATCTATGTTCTGTTTTTGATCATTCAGTCCCTTTAATCTTTTTCTTGTTGGCTTGAATTTGAAGGCATTTATCGGTGGAGAAGAACAGAGTGTTAAGCATTAAATTATACCCAGAAATATCAAATATAACAAGAGACAATCCCCCAATTGCATCATTTGTTATTCGAGTAGTCTGTTCTGCTGGTGACCGGAAGGCTCTCACTCACCCAGGTAAGTGGAAAACAGGACAATACATTTCATAAAATATGCGGATGGGGCATAATAGTAGGAAGATTTTCTCTTGGTTGATTCCTGGTTTATGCAGAAATAACAGATAAGCAGTTGAAGAGCAACGAAGACTTTGTTTGGGCAATTGAGGTCCCGTTAACAGGGAAAATCATCATCGACGTTGAATTCCTTGACTTGAAGACTACATCTCCAGACGTACACATCCATCTCCTATCTCCATTATATTGCCTTTTCTAGTTAACAAATCTGGTATTTTTGGTTCAATTGCAATTTGGAACTGAACCAAACAGGACCTTACTGTCTCTTTTTAGTCATGAACCTAATCCTGAACTGAGAAAAATCCATTTGATCTGTTTGTGTATACTTGTGGATATTTGTACCATTACTGGGTTGTTTTTACCACGGTTTCACATTCGGGTTCACGTCATAAATTAGAATGTGAAGTAAGCTGCAAAAACTGATGTAAAGTAGAAATTCTGTAAACAGTCTGTGTTATTGTCATACCTTAACTAAAAATTAGAGCTTGTGGTTGAATATACAGGGGGGAGAACCTTGCTCCATTTGGGCTGCAGGATTTTCAGAAAAACGATCAAATGCAACAGCTCTTGCATCCCTTGGTCGAATGTTAACAGAAAGCATTCATACGGATATAGTAATTAACGCCTCTGATGGGAGCATTGGAGCCCATCGTGCCATTCTTGCTGCAAGATCACCTGTTTTCCGCAGCATGTTTGCACATGACCTGAAGGAGAAAGAATTATCAACTGTGAATATCTCCGACATGTCAATCGAAGCTTGCCAGGCACTCCTCGGTTACATCTATGGAAACATTGAACATGAAGACTTTCTTACCCACAGATTGGCACTACTCCAAGCTGCTGATAAGTATGATATCTCTGACTTGAAAGAGGCATGCCATGACAGTCTTCTGGAAGATATTGATACGAAAAATGTACTGGAGAGACTCCAGAATGCATATACATATCAATTGCCGAAACTGAAGGCCAGCTGCATGGGGTATCTTGTGAGGTTTGGCAAAATATTTGACATCGGTAATGATTTCAACGTCTTCTTGCAGTGTGCAGATCGGGATCTGATATCCGAAGTCTTCCATGAAGTTCTCGGTGCCTGGAAAGGATTCTGAAAATGGTCTTAAACTGTTGTGGAAGGTGTGTTAAGCCAGTGCTGCTATTTATTGTGGCAATGAAGATGGCTTGTTAGAAAAATTTAGGATGGAGACAAACTTATATGAAGCTAATTCTTTTGGCAAATGCAATTTGTTTATGACCTATATGTACACAATATATATATTGGTTTTCATGTCAGATACCACATGTTACCCGTGTAACTATAAATACAAACATGTGAAATGTGAATTCGTGGTTATTTGGAATGAAATGAAGTGATTAAACATTATAAGTTGCGTATCCCTTAACGTTATGTTTGGAATAAATCAAAAGTTTTTGGAGAATACATTTGAAAATTCACAAAAAAAAGACTGTACTTATTTAGCCGTAGCCTGAGTATATTTCTAAACTACTGGTATTAAAGAAAAGAAAGTTATTATTCATTTCAAGAATTCATCAATCTAAAACATTAGTTCATTGTTGATGGCTTTCAAGTATATTAATCTGTAGTGTTGATCTATATGCTATAGAATTAGGGTTTCATTTTTTAGAAAATTAGATTGATAATTTCTTTTTTGTAAATTCTCAACCTCTAACCTAAATTGTGATAAAGTTTCAATCTTTCACAGGTCCATAAAAAGAGTTATCCCAAAAGATGATAAATACAAGAATAAATGCCTAGAGTTTTACCAACTTGCCAAGAGACAAAAAGTCAAGAGCAGATGAAATGAAACGTAGATAGAAAAGATACCACAAATGAAGCCACTCTCTGTCACAAATTTTTTCTTTTCCAGCAGAGTATACTTTTCTCTGGGCACCCATTTGAAAAATGGAACGAGTAATAAAAACCCTATACCAAAGATACCAAGTTGTCAAATAACATTTCAACTTTGTTATTTCGGGTAAATAACAAAGCAAGAAACTTTGACGATCATCCGCTTTACTATTATTGGTCAATTGGAAAAGTGAATACATTAAAAGTTAGCATTTCTTAACATTAAACCTTTTCAAAATGTTGGTTAAACATTTATTACTTTGTCTTTATTAACTTAGGTTATTTCTCCAGTTCATACTGGTAAGAATAACAGCATTGGAGAACAATGTTATTATAAGAAGGTTTTGAAGGACAAGTCGTCCTCCATCATACCTAAGGGATTATCACAATAATCTGTCCCTGCATTCCGGTTCAGCTGCTAAGGAATCAATTTGATCTCCTTTGTCACAACGTTTTACTTATGACAGAATTTCTCAGCTCGCGGTCACTATCTTTTGCCATGTCTTCTAATTTTGAGCTACGGTTTTATCATCAGGTGGTACCTCACAAGGATTGGAGAGAAGTGATGCAAGCTTAGCTAGATGCAAAGGAGTCCAATCACACTTGGTCCGTTGTTCCCCTGCCTCCAGGTAAACATGCTATTGGTTGTAAATGCGTTCATAAAATTAAATATAGATCAGATGGAGCGATGAAAGGCTAGTTTGGAAGCAAAAGGATAGACTCAACCGAAAAAGTCGATCTTATGAGAACTTTCTCCTGTGACTAAGCTAGTTGCCGTGAAAGTCATGCTTGCATTAGATACTTCTCAAAAATGGCGTCTGACCCAACTGGATGTCAATAATGCCTTTCTGAATGGATCCTTTTTTGAAAAGATTTACGTGGACATTCCATTTGGGTATCCAAGCTAGGTGGAGAATCTCAGTTCATATAGCTAAATGGTATACAAGCTCCACAAGTCCATTTATAGACTCAAACAAGTTTCTCGGCAATGAAACTACAAGCTCACCCATTTTCTTCTTCAGTTTGAGTTTCGCAAGTTTAAATCGGATAATCCTTATTCATTGAGGGATCAGGCATCTCATTTGTTGCTCTTTTGATCTATGTGGATAACATTGTCATTGCATGGCTTTCTTTGATTGGTATACAAGAGTTAAAAATCTTGTATATTCCCATTTTAAATTGAAAGATTTGGGAGTTTTCAAATACTTGGTCTCGAAATTGCTTAGTCATTTGCAGGTATTTATCTTTCTCAACGACATTACACTCAATAACTTCTTGAAGATACAGTGTTTCTGGCTTCAAAACCAGCATATCTTCCCATGGATTCCAAGCATTCTTTAAGTGCTGCAGAAGGTCCTTTGCTCAAAGATCCTTCTCAGTTTCGCAGGCTCATTGGCTGATTGATGTATTTGGTTCTTTCTCGGCCTGACATTGCATCTACAGTTCACAAACTCAGCCAATGTATCTCTCAAACGCATGAACCTCATTTAGAGTTAGCTCATCAACTTTTAAGATATCTTTAAGAACAAGTGTGCTCAAGGACTGATGTTCCTTCAGATTTGTCAATCAAGCTACTTTCTCAGATGCTGATTGCGTGTCCTGCAAAGACACCAGAAAATCTATAACTGGTTACTGTGTATTCCTTGGAAGCTCTTTGGTATCCTGGAAAGTGAAAAAGCAAACAACTACTGCACATTCCTCAGCTAAAGCTAAATACTGAGCGCTTGCAGCTACAACTAATGAGGTTGTTTGGTTTACACAGCTCTTATATGATTATGAAGATCCCACTGTAATATTCTGCGATAACTAGGTAGCCATATATATTGCTTCAAAGTGGACCCTCATTTTGTTTGGAATCACTTACAAGCAGTCATGTCAAGCTTCTGCCCATTCATTCTTAGCATCAATTCATGGACCTTTTTACTAAAGCATCGTCTTCAAGTTTATTTTTCTCTCTACTGTCCAATATATCTGTACTTGACATTTGTCATCCGTCTTCAGCGGGAATACTAGAGTTAATCATCTTAATTTACTAACTTAACCTCCTTACTTAAACATATCTATACATATGTGTACTCCTGACTTAATTAATACAAGACATCTCTCCCTTTTCCTTGCATCTCTCTCTCTTTCTCTAAACTCTATCTTAGGATTTCTGTAATAATGATTCAACATTTTACAATTAGAAAAGAAAAACAAGTAACTTTTGACTAACAATTTACACACTGAAACCAGCAAACCTAATTGAACACTTCTATGAAATTCAACAATCACGTATTCCAACATCACAAACCCAAATTGCAACAGTAAACACTTAAACAAGGAATTAGCTGGAATTAAATAACTTTTTATTGTCAAAAAGAATATCATACACACACTGCACATGTTAGGAAAAAGAAAACATATCCTTAGTTTACTTAGGAAAAAGAAATTCAAACTCTTATTTGCTGGCAAAAGAAAAAAAAAGGAAGGGGAAACTTAAGAAACAAAACTCAACATGAGGTTCCTTTGTCTTCAGACTATTAAATTTCCGAGAATGCAAATAACCAGATCGATGACTTAAAACCCAATACAAAGAAGATACAGAATCCATCCAGATTAGCAAGTTTAGAGAAGAAGAGATGGGAAACTTCATATATAGATATATACGTTTATATACGCATGTGCAAGAGTAAAGGATTGGGAAGTACTGACCTTTTCGAGAAGCAAATTAAACCCAAATGGCTCTTCTTCTTCTTCTTCCAAAATCTTGATTTAGAAAATGGAATTAGAAGAGAAATTGATTGAAAGAAAATTAAGAACTGGAGGAGTTAAAAGGAAAGTTCAAAAACGGAGGGGGAGAATATTATTTTGGTATCTTTATAGTTAATGGCATCTTTTTTTTTTTTTTTTGGGTTTGGTTGAATTTAATTATTTAATAATTTATTTGTAGAGAAATTTAATTATTTATATGTCAAAAAAAAAATAAAAATCTAATCTTTTATATGATATATAAGTCATAAAAAAAATCATTAAATTAGGTCATTACATGATTAAAATATGAAATAAAAAATTAAATAAATAAGCATTTTAATTAGTCCAATTTATTTTATTCAATTAATTTAATTGGTAGCAATAAACAAGGAGATTCCAACTTTGGTTAGTTAAAATTTTTAGAAACTTTTTTAAAAAAAAATTAGTCTTTAAAATCTTTTAGGGATTTAGATAAGAATACAAATAGATTATTTATTAATTAAAAATTAAATATGCTTATCAAGATATGTGATAAAGATGAATATACATATGGAATTCTGATTTTTAAAAAAAATAAAAATAAAACAATTTTATTTTGATTATACAAGTAATCTATATGTATTTATATATATATATATAACTCCATTAAAAAACCCAATTAGTTACTTAATTATTTAAAACTCATTTGATTACTTCTGATTTTTCTTGATTTTTTTTTGGTGTAAACACTATAATCCATCCATATCCTTATTTCATTATGATTAATTCCAATTGTAATGCTACTTCATTATACTTTATTTTTTTTTATAAGTAAAACCCATTGAATAAAATTCAGTTTAGGTAATAGATATATACTAATATAATATTTTATTTTAATTTATATAAATTATTAAAAATATTTTACCATTTATAAACAAAAAGATGTAAAAATAGTCAATAATTTATATACATGTAAAATATTTAAAATTACATATAGGTGTATAAATATAGTAAGTTATACTTATTTACTTACATACACCATTCACATTGTTTCTATCTTAAAGGTGAAACTTTTTTCAAATTTGATGGGTTAAGAGTACACATCATGTGTGTATATATATATATATATATATATATATATATATAGAGAGAGAGAGAGGGAGAGAGAGAGAGAGAGAGAGAGAGAGAGACCCATGAAAAATAATTATTTATAAAGAATACCCATTTACAGTAAATTTCATGAAGTGATGTTGAGAACAAAAGGAATGTCAAAATTGGATTCAAGAGGCAAAAATAATTTCAGCCATGATATACCCAAAAAAAATAATAAAAAATTAAAAAATTATTGATGTAATTATCAACCAGATCATACCCATAACTCTCCTTATTACTATAAAAACGTAAATTGAATGCTTGAATTTTAAAAACTCAAGCCTAAATTATCTTTGATTCCGGGATTTTTTGCTTCAAAGACGGAATTAAATATCAAGAGGCTTTTCTCCTAATGGAAAGGAAGAGTCGGATTTGCTTAGAAGACCAGAAAAACCAGAGCTTTATAAGTAGACCGAAGGAGACGAGTGATTTTATATGTATCTTATCACCATTGATACCTCTGGTTTATGAACTTCAAAGGTTCAACAATGGCGGGCTGTGTTCCTTGTTATCTTCTTTCAACGTTGTTAATTCTCTCTCTTTTGTCTTTTCCGGCCTTTGCAGTGCCCAAGGCAAGTGTTTATTTACAGTCATGGCTTCTCTGTTTTTTTTTTTCTTTAAAGGATTACAGTTATGGGGAAAACGAAAATCCATCTGGGTTTTTTATTGACTTGTTTGAATCATCATTTTTGTTCTTTGTTTTTCTGAGGGATTACAGTAACGGGTTGACTCCATCTGGGTTTTTGAATTATTTGTCCGAGTCACCATTGTCTTCTCGATTTTTTATTAACTCCTCTGAATCTCCATTTTTGCTCTCTGTTTCTCAAGTAATGGCATTTGGAATTTTGATTTACTAGTCTGAATCGCCATTTATTCTCTGTTTTCCATCTGGGTTTTATATTAACTAGTCTGAATCACCATTTCTTTTTTTGCTTTAGAATTTGACACTCTGCATCTTCTTCGTTTGATTGGTTTGATGATCTTTTCTTCTTCCTCACGCAGGCCTATGTTGTTTACATGGGAGAGCACTCCCATGGTGCAGACCCAACAGCGGCAGATCTCGACATTGCCACTAATTCTCATTATGACTTGCTAGGCTCCTACGTGGGAAGGTCATTGAGTTATTTCCATTGAATAAATTAAAAATCACTACTTACACTTCCCTTTATATATCTATATGATCAAATAGTAATCTTTGTATGTTTTTTATGCAGCCAAGAGAAGGCAAAAGAGAAAATCTTCTACTCTTACACTCACATTATAAATGGATTTGCTGCCATGCTCGAGGAAGAAGAAGCATCAGAACTCGTCAGTAAGAAATTCAATCCAAACATAACCGAACTATCACGAACTACTTCGATTTTCAAAGATACAAAAATTCATCTCTCTGTTTTCAAAATGCGAAATTAAAAAAAAAAAAAATTTGCAGAGCATCCAAACGTGGTGTCTGTTTTCTTGAACAAAGGAAGACAATTGCACACAACAAGGTCATGGGATTTTCTCAGATTGGAAAGAGATGGTATAATTCCCTCTGGCTCTCTCTGGACCAAGGCAAGATTTGGCCAAGATGTGATTATTGGAAACCTTGATACTGGTAATCATACTTATACTCTGTTTGGAACATATTTAATTTCTATTAATTTGCATTTCTTTTCATATTTTAGCATTAACCAATCCATTTTTCTGTGGAAATTGAAGCAATTTTTTTTGTATATTTGCATGGATTTATGGGTGATTGAAATGATGTCTGCACGTTTGAGCACTAACTTATTGCATGAGAAAAAAAAAAAGTTGACTCTGATTGCAATATATTCTGCCATTAAGCTTTACATCATGAGAAGGGTATAATATTCAAGACTAAAGTTCAAAGCTTTTGTAGCCTACCGTGAGTAATTGAATGTTGGATTTAGGTTTGATTTCTTTATTTCGAGATTATCAAGATTTTTTTTTTCCGTATAACTCGGAGTTACTTAGAGTTAGATTGCGGGTTAGACTTAAAATTTAATTTATATAGTACGAGATATAGATATTTACTAGCAAACATGTGTTGAGTTATTAGTTAGATTTACATTATCTTGAGGCTGTGGAGGTTTTATGAGTTTAAGAAACAGTTGATTAAATTAGATTTTACTTCATATAATGAGATTTTTCTGGCAGACTTTTTAAATCAAAACTCATAATTTATTGACGATTACAGCTTATAAACTATGTCAATTAATTAAATTATAAGATTATTGAACATAATCAAATACGTTCTTGGTGAGAAATTTCAAGCCCACTTAAAAATTTTCGAAGGATTTGCTATTTATAATGTAACCATCATTTAAAGCTTACGTACAGTTTTCTTTTTGTCTACCATTTTCTGGGTATCTGAGGAACAAGTGGGATTGTTTTGGGATTCCTTATGTGTTTCCCACTATGAGTCTGTTTGGCAAAAGGGAAATGATGAAATTTCCTTTTCTGTGGATCATAAGTTTTTCATTTTGATTGGTTTTGTTAGGCGTCTGGTCGGAATCTGAAAGCTTTAAAGACGAATCAATGGGCCCAATTCCCTCGAGGTGGAGAGGAACATGTCAGGATGACACAGAAGAACCAGTTAAATGCAACAGGTTTTTCCCTTTTTTTTTTTCCTACTAATCATATTCGCTTATGTATATATGTATGTAATTACAGGAAATATAAAAGGGTAATTCATGTTGATTAATTTCCGACACTTGTTATGTTAAGAATTAATCCGTCGCCAGAAAAAATTCATGTACAGGAAGCTGATAGGAGCAAGGTACTTTAACAAGGGTTATCTCGCCTTTGTTGGTGACGAATCCAACAACACAGTGACTGCCCGTGACCTAGAGGGTCATGGGACACATACCCTATCAACGGCCGGCGGCAGCCCTGTGTCGGGAGCAAATATTTTTGGCTACGGAAATGGAACCGCCAGAGGTGGATCGCCAAATGCTCGCGTGGCTGCCTACAAAGTTTGCTGGAAACCAGTGGGAGGTGCTGAGTGCTTTGATTCAGATATCCTGAAGGCTTTTGACACCGCTATTTGGGATGGTGTTGATGTATTATCAGTTTCTCTGGGTGGAAGTCCTTCTGAATTTTTTCAAGATGGAATTTCTATAGGAGCCTTCCATGCTGTTAGACGAGGCATTGTTGTTGTTGCATCAGCCGGAAATTCAGGTCCCGATGCTGGCACTGCATCAAATTTGTCACCATGGATTTTCACAGTAGGAGCTTCCACCATAGATAGAGAGTTCATTAGTACTGTCACACTTGGAAACAAGAAAATTTACCAGGTACACATACATTAGTCCCTTCAAATTAATTCTACCCTTCATGCAATTCCAATTCATTTTGTCTTTGCATATGCCAGGGAGCAAGTCTTTCCGCGAAATCTTTGCCAGAAAAGTTCTACCCATTGATTAGTGCTAAAGACGCGAAAGCTGCTAATGCTTCGGCTCTAGAGGCGTAAGGACTAAATTTTGGGTTCGAACACATTACTTTACGCTCGAGTTTTCATTTATAATCTCATTGAATTAATGAATTATGACAGTGCACAATGTGAGGCTGGATCATTGGATAGCAAGAAGGTGAAGGGGAAGATAATTGTCTGCATTCGAGGCGTTAACGGGCGAGCTGAGAAAGGAGCGGTTGCTTATCTTGCCGGAGCCGTGGGGATGATTTTGGCTAATGACGAAAAAAGTGGGAATGAAATTATCCCAGATCCTCATTTTCTCCCAGCTTCACATATTAATTACAGTGATGGTCAGGCCGTATATGCCTACATCAAATCCACCAAGTATATAATATTAAATTTTTTAATTTTATTCAATTTCCTACTCAATCAATCAATGAATTCATCTTCCCCAAAATTATAATTACCTTACCTTTCTCTATATAGAAATCCAGTAGCACAGATTTCTCCAGTAAAAACAGACATGCCCGTCAAACCAGCTCCATTCATGGCGGCATTCTCATCCAGGGGACCCAATGTTCTTGACCCAGCAATTCTCAAGGTCTTACTTTTCATATACACAATTTACAGTTCCACAATTCGTACTTTAAGTCTGATATGTATGTATATATATGCATATGTTTCAGCCTGATATAACTGCTCCTGGAGTGAGTATCATCGCTGCTTTCACTGGAGCAACTGGACCAATTGAGAGCGATCTTGACAAACGGCGAGTTCCTTTCATCACCATGTCCGGAACTTCAATGTCTTGCCCCCACGTCTCCGGCATTGTTGGCCTTCTCAAAAACCTCCACCCCGAATGGAGTCCGGCCGCCATTAAATCCGCCATCATGACTTCTGGTACTCATCTTCTTCATTTAATTATTCCTTTTATAAATTCACTAATATGATAACATCAAAGCAAACCCCTTATAGTAGGTGCTCTATATTATACGAATTTTACTTTAAAAAGTAAACTTGTCAACTCTGCAGCGAGAATACGTGACAACGAAGCGGAGGCCATGCTTGATTCAGACAACAACAAAGCAAACCCATTTGGGTATGGAGCAGGACATGTCAGACCAAACCGAGCTATGGATCCTGGTCTGGTTTACGACATGAACGAGGATGACTACCTTAACTACTTATGTGGTCGTGGCTACAACCAGACAAACCTTCGTTTTTTCACAAGAAAGAACTACACGTGTCCCAAATCATTCACCTTGGCGAGCTTTAACTACCCATCAATGGCGGTTCCTGATCTGGACGGCAAAGCAACACTCACTCGCCGAGTCAAGAACGTCGGCGGTGGACCGGCGACGTATACAGCGAGAGTGAAGGCTCCGGCGGGAGTGTCGGTGGCGGTGAAGCCGGCGAGCTTGAAGTTCGAGAAAGATGGAGAAGAGAAGAGGTTTGAAGTTGTGGTGGAGGCAAAAGGTTTGGAGGGGAAGAAGAGGGATTATGTGTTTGGGCAATTGACATGGACAGATGGGAAGCATAATGTAAGGAGTCCGATTGTAGTTAAGCACGTATAAATTCTATGGAGTTTTTCAGGGAATAATTAGGGTTTTTTTTTTTTTAAAAAAAAAAGAAAATTAAATTTGATGCTTAGTGTGTATTTAAAACTAAAATGTAATGGTTAATTTCTTCTGTTGACAAATAAAAATATTAGAAGACCAAAAAAATTAACTAATACTGTTCTTTTTTTTTCTGTATGCATTTATGTATGTATGTGTGTGTGTGTATATATGTATATATGTGTGTAACGTATTTTCTATGCATGTTTTCGATTTCTTTTTTTTTTTCTTTCCATGGTATATTGGTTTTTTTTTTATTTTCAATTTTATGTTTTATTTCCTAGTTTTAAGTATTCTAATTTCATCTTTTCTTAATTAATTAAATATATATAATCAGAGAAAATTAAAATTATATACTATATATTTCTTATGTTATATACTATAGTTTTTATATTTTTTCTTATTTTTATGTTCTTAAATGGTTTTAGTTTGACTGGTTTTAGAATTTAAATTGAGTGTTTCTATTCCATATTATACTTTCCCCTTTCCTGATTTTAAATAGTTCTATAGTATTAGAAATTTTGGAGATTACTGCCTATTTATTTTTTTTTATGATTTA